GGGAGCGGTTGTTCCGCTTCCAATTCGTTCCATTTCGAATGACGAGACTGGAGGAGAGTAACAAGAACTTATATTATTATGCACCAACAAGTGAGAGCTCTTCCGGTACCCTGCTACGGCCTTTTGGACGGTTAATTTGGGTTTTTGTTTCAACTATCCATTCATTTCCTTACTACCTTTTCAACATGCGCTACTAATCTAAAATTTACGAAATAGCGCAGATTTTTTTTGTACTCTTCGCATTTGTCTCTGTCCTTTCAAAGTGGTCTCATTATCAAAAATTGGAAGCTACTAATGAAAAGGTAGTAAGGAAATGAATGGATAGTTGAAACAAAACCCAAATTAACCGTCCAAAAGGCCGTAGCAGGGTACCGGAAGAGCTCTCACTTGTTGGTGCATAATAATATAAGTTCTTGTTACTCTCCTCCAGTCTCGTCATTCGAAATGGAACGAATTGGAAGCGGAACAACCGCTCCACGAGGAAGCTTATAGAGATGAACATTGGGCGTAGTTTGGGACAGTGGAAGAGGCATCGCCTTCCTTACGGTCGTCTTTAGTCTTTACTAGGTACATTGAGTGACGAAAGAGATATATCCTCTGATGCAAAGAGAACTACTTTGTCCAAGCACGGCGTCCCTACACCAAATAAACGCAGGAGGTGCCTTCATGGGACAATTGCAGTGCTTGCTGGTGGTGATCTCTAAAAAGCCCTAGTGGTTGTGTGCGGTGTTGAACGTAAATGGAAATCGAAGAAGTGTTGTTTCTCTAAAATTGAAGAATGGCGTAGAAGAGTACTTTGAGGGAATCTCGAATGATCTGCATGTTTGTTGTTATTATTATTGTTTCACGGTATGCTTTTTCGCCGCTGAATTTGTGATGGAACCTTCAGCTTCTTAATCCAAGTCAACTCTGTTTTATTTTCCAACGCATTGCTATTCCTTTTTTAGATCCAACTCGCCTTGATATCTTTATTTCATGTTTGTTTCTGACCTGCTCGTGCATTTCTTGAGCACTGATTAGAATGTGCTCAGATAATTGATAATTTCCAGGGCCCATCTTCCTCATAATGCTTGGAAGTATATGCCAGAAGCTCCCTGCTCGGACGACTTCTTTGCAAGCGTGTAAGTTTTTTAATCAGAGGTTTCTTTCAGTCTTGATAGGATTGGAGTGGGTAATGGGGAGAGTTACGGACAGTCTCAGTTTGAAGAATGAAAAGCTTGTAACAATTTTTCACTTTTCCCGGTATCACGCTGACTTTTTTCCGGTGCGCGAACATGTAGCGTGAACACTACACGTTCGCCCACGGGGAAAAAACCAGTATAAAACCGCTATTTGGGTTGAAGATTTATACCAAAACGGGAGAGATGTGACTAAGACTACCAAGGAGCTTGAAAAGAGAGCGTTGGAGGAATATGTAAAATTGTATCAGTCACCCCCCCCCCCTCTTCTTTACTAGAAGAGTTTCTCGGTGCGGCACCACTCCCTTACCGCTATTCCCATTTTTTCCCTAGAGGAATGGGGTGGGAGGACACAGGTCTGGCGTTAGAGACTAGTTGACTCATAGCAGGAGAGATCCGGAAATCTTTCATTCCCCTTTCCCTCAGCAGTAAGGCAGCGTTCAGACTTCACGACGTCGCGCGTCGGTGCGTCTTCGCCTTATTCCTGTTTCCTCTCATCGTGAACTCCAGAAGCTGAAAATAAAACAGAGACGAAAAACAATGAAAAAAGGGTAAATATTTAAGGAAAGCAGATAAAGAGGGCGGGGTATGGTACACTGGAGCGCCCTTGCATGTAGCGCGCTGACGCGAGACTTCGCGGTGTCTGAACGCTGTCTAACTCCCATTAATGTGGATTACTGCCAGCAATGCAAATGTAACCTCCTTCGCGATCGATTACCCCCTTCTGTGGATCCACAGGTGATGCATACTTTTTTGATATGCCTGAGATTGGCCCTAATACCACCTAGAATGCTGCTGGTGAAACTCAGTCTCTAACCGTAAGTTTTTTACCCGTCATGGATACGCTAGTGCGCCCTATGAGATAAGTGAGAGCAGCTGGAAAGCCTATGCTTGCGCTGATTTCGTCACTAAGTCTGTTTAAGCGAAAAAAAAGAGCGAAACGGTTCAACATGTGGTTCCTGTTCTGAAGGAGATACTGTTGCTTCAGGCAGATTTGTTCGAGCAAGATGGGAGCGTGGGTACTACAAGGACTTATACCATAGAAGAGTATTACTGGGAGCAGATCCGATTATTCATCGATCATCCTATCCGAACTGGTACAGTACTGATATTGTATAATAATGACTCTATTCCATGTGACTAAGTGCCCTCATTTGTTTTTTTTTGTGAATGTTCGATTATTCCATTTTTTTCAATAGCTGCCGTGCATGTGGCAGATTTTAGCGTGCGTTCTCATCACTGTTTCGGCGGTGCTGTTCAACAGTGGTCTCAAATCGAATCGTCTGTCGATGTCAGTTCTGAAGAGTACAAGCAGAACTACGCTCAAATGAAGGAAATAGTTGACGATTTACGACAAAAGATTGCTAAGATCACCGAAGGAGGAGGTGAAAAAGCCCGAGCACTTCACAAGAGTCGTGGAAAAATGCTGGCACGCGAACGAATCAACGCGCTGATTGATCCAGGAACTTCGTTCTTGGAGTTCAGCCAGCTTGCCGGTTTTCAACTTTATGGTAGTGAAGAAGTCCCTGCAGGTGGGCTCATTACCGGCCTGGGAACTGTCTCAGGACGAGTTTGTGTGATATCCGCCAATGACGCCACTGTGAAAGGAGGAACTTACTATCCCATCACTGTGAAGAAACATCTTCGAGCACAGGAAATTGCCAGGTGGTTCATCACCGTATATTCTCATGTTTACTTCAGTTACAGTGAGTATTTCATCTTAAACGATTCTGTTTTCAGAGAGAATGCTCTTCCTTGCATCTACCTAGTTGACTCTGGTGGCGCAAACTTGCCTCGTCAAGCTGATATTTTTGCGGATAGAGACCATTTTGGACGGATATTTTACAACCAGGTGAACATTTGCTATCCTCGAAGACACCGACAGGGACTGCCGCGTGGGCTGCTCATGAGAAGACGGCAGGGAAACGATGAAATGATTTCGTTCCCTGGCTCCGCCCATAAAGCAATTCCGAACGGTGTCATAAGAGCACTTGATGCTCTCATAGAGTCTTTTTTTGGTTTTTTTTTCTGATGAGTATTCATGATACGAACTTAAGGCGACTCTGAGCAGCAAAGGCATTCCCCAACTGGCTGTGGTTATGGGTAGCTGTACCGCTGGAGGAGCTTATGTTCCAGCTATGGCAGATCAAGCAATCATAGTTAAAGGAACTGGAACAGTCTTCCTTGGAGGACCTCCACTAGTCAAAGCGGCAACGGGCGAAGATGTGAGCTTCAGTTACTTTTATCACGCTAGAGCAAAGCGAAAATTTCCTGCCTTCATTTATCCGGAAAGCTTTCCTTGTCAGATTTTTGATCTGAAGCCCAGCTAGCCACTGCTTTGCAGATTTCTGCCGAAGAGCTCGGAGGAGCTGATCTTCATTGTAATGAGTCTGGCGTAACTGACTACTATGCCCACAACGATGCCCATGCTCTGCATTTGGCACGGAATGCCGTAGCTGGAATGGGACCACCTACAGGAGCCACCGAATTCGCTGATCACTGTG